TAGTGAAATAGTTTTTCCTGATATCCAACCTGGACCTCCCCCACTGCAACTTGAGACCATTGCTCCTTGTTCTGTCAACACACAACACAGAGCCCAACACTGCTCAGAGAAGTTCACAGTTAATCTTACCATCCACCATCCCCCCCCTCCCCCCATAGGAGGGGTAAGGTGGGCTATAAGAATGGGGGGTTGGCTGCCTGCCATACCAATCATAGGAGTCCCCAACCGTGCTCCCACCCATGTAAAAGGGAGGTTTGAGGTGAGGGCTGTCCCTTTTAAACCCTGCATTCCCAGGGGATGAGTCACTGACCACACTGACCCTTTTTCAACAGTTTTCACCCCCCCTCCCGCCCCAGCCATAAAGCACCGTTTCCTTCATTCGGCCAGCCAGTCAAGTACCCCCAAGGTGTGGTGCAATCATTTCTCTTAGCTCAGTGTGCAAGAATGAGCAATTTACTTTAGATGAAAAACTATATTCAAGAAAAGTCACAAATGTTTTTCTAATATGTAATGCCATATATTAACAATAGTAATTCAGTGCAGTGGCTTAGTTATCTTCATAGAGGGCTATATATTTTTATGAATAGATACAGAAAAGACTTTCAGTTAACACTGAATTTTGGCTTCTACTAGTTTTGATTCTGCAGATGGTAAAACTGACTGCAAATTAGATTCTGAAATATATCTTCAGAATATTTTTCAACTGATTAGTTTCATACAGTTAGCAGTAACCCACCCCCTTGCATTCAGCTTGCAATTTTGTAGCAATCTCAAGTACTGTGTTCAAATCCCAGTGTAATGTGTAAAGATGCTATCAAACTCTTTCAATGTATATTTTCATTCTGTAGCTGTGCTTTGTACTCATTTAAAAGCATTAATCTTTAATTTGTAGCGGAAGATTTTCAAAATGAAGTTTAGAAAGACAGGAGTTTGTCACATTCATTGGGGATATATCTACATCTTAATGTGCAGGGAGTTACTTGCAGAGCTCCAATTAAATCGCTTAGTATACCCTATTGCACATTATTTTTTTTGTAATTGCTTCTTTAATAAACAATAATTGTACAAAACTACAGTAATGAACTATAAACCTATTATACTAGTTTGAATCATTAACATACCGCTGATCCACTTCCATTTATTTTGATGTAGTTGAAATATGCTTTATATTTGCTTGTTGTCTAGGCATGGCAATCTAATAGGAGCTATGCTAACATAAATGGAGAATATTGTACAACATAAAACTTAGAAATGATAAATAAGGTGAGCATAAAAAGAAATAGTAGTTATATATTTAACTTAATTTTCAGTCTTGTGAAATGGCACTAAAAATCATTAAGAGGAGAGGTATAGCTCAGTGGTTTGAGCATTGGTCTGCTTAAACCCAGGGTTATGAGCTCAATCCTTGAGAGGGCCACTTAGGGATCTGGGGCAAAAATCAGTACTTGGTCCTGCTAGTGAAGGCAGGGAGTTGAACTCAATGACCTTTCAGGGTCCCTTCCAGTTCTATGTGATAGGTATATCTCCATATATTATATTATTATTTATAAGGGAAAAGAAATTTACAAATATTTTACAAAATGAGGAGAAACTCATTTTGGAAGAAAAAGAAGAGTAATTTTCATACTAGATAGCATGTACCTCTATCCCGATCACTACCTCTATCCCGATCACTACTGGATGGAATTTGAATTGCTAAAATTTCTTAATAATCTGACGGTTAAGGGAGATTCCCCTTGTGCCAAGTGATCAGGGACTGTGATTTTTGGAGCAGAAGGAACTGAGTTCTAGGCCTGTTGTCAACAGAAGTGGTCATGGGGTTTAATTCAGAGATTATTCAAGTCCTCAGTAGCCACAGATCAGCTACAATTCGAAAACACAGACTTAGAGAGGGAGGAGATGATAATGAAGTTCTCTATGTGTAAACCTTTTCATTGCAAGCTATAAGGAAGATTCCCCTGTATTTGGAGCCAAAGTAAACTTGATTTCTGAATTTCTAAATGACTTGCAACTTTTTAGGCCCATGTCTAATAAGTTGTAGTTGTATGAAATATTGAATCTTAGTGTGAAAACAAATAACTATCAAACGTACAAAGCTTTTAATATTTTTATTCTGATTATTAATCTTTTTATCCCTTTTGGTCATTCACAGGTGTTATTTGGAAGATGGAGCTTCAAAAGGTGCCTGGCTGAACCGGTCAAGTATTATTTTTGCAGGAGGTGATAAATGGTCAGTAGATCCTCGAGTTTCAATTGCAACAGCAAATAAAAGGGAATACAGCCTACAGATACAGGATGTAGATGTGACAGATGACGGTCCATACACTTGTTCTGTGCAGACCCAACACACTCCGAGAACAATGCAGGTGCACTTAACTGTACAAGGTACGTGTTTTAACCAATTGCACAGCATTATTAGGAATGTATTGAAAAAATCTGCATTTAAAGTAAAATAGTCCTTTATTAATTAAAAAAAAATATGTTCTCTGCTTAATGCACAGTAACCCTATGATCAGAATGCATCCTCTCTAGAATGTCGGGTCTAATTTTATTATATTTATGTTCCATCACCTCTCCCATGGATTTTGGACACCATAATGATTGCACTAACTTATAAAATCAAGATTGGATTTTTTTTCTATAAGATATATGCTCTAGTTATAACAGGAGTTAATTCAGGGAAGTCTGATCGCCTGTATTATAAAGGCGATCAGACTGGATGATCACAGTGGTCCCTTCTGGCTTTATAATCTATGAATTTTTCAGCACAGCTCAGGCAAAATCCTCAGCTCTATTGCCTTGTATAGGTAGATAGTGAACTGCCTACTTCTATTCAGTTCCCCTTTTCAATTCAAGCCATGATCATGAAAATTTATGTGACCAAGATGATGGGCATCAGAGCATGTTTTAGCCAGCCACGCATATTGACTCATGACCTCATGACATATTGCATGGACCTCATATATTGTGGGGGGATTCTGTGACCTTTTCAACCATGTAAAAGAATTGTGATAAGTTTTTTGTTTTTGTTTTTTTTAATGTTACATTCCTTAATTATTGTGCACAACCTTTTGTACAAGATGTACTAGTTTTAATGCTAACTGAACAATCCTGCTTTTCTCTCAGTACCTATGCATTTAGAGAGTAAGGTGGATCAGGAAGCTATTGTGTTAGATAGAGACTTATGCAGTATAGGTTGGAGTTGTTCAAACACAACTCATTCTTATGGACAGATTATCACCATATTGATGCCAAAATTAGCTGGATTTCATTCCTGCATAAGTGGTACTTATGTCAAGCCATTGTCCTGCAAAAGTGAGCTCTAGTTATTCTTTTGTGGCCTTTAAATGAGGTATTAATTTCCTCAAAATGTGGTTTCTCTTGATTACTTGCAGGGATTCATTTATTTTCAGATACTATTTTATCTTTTCCGTTATTAGAGAGGATATGTCTGCAGTATTTGCAGTGTCAAGTAGTTCGTTTTTAAAAATATGATAAACATCTTTATATTATATTTTTAAATTAATAATTGCCTCATCAACAAGCCAAACAGGTAATGCTCAGACACAGAAAGTTTGTACTCCAGTGGTTGATGTGGGATTACTGTCGTTTTGCAGAGTTACTTTGTTTTCCAGAGCTCAGAAATGCATATAGTAGGTAAGGTAAAAACCTTAATCATATGATGCTGTTTATAAATGTAATTATTCATTTGAAATTGATTGGCATTTAAGCAGTTTTTCAGTTATATTAATATAAGTTGAAGAGGGACAAACATCAGTAAGTCAAACAGGGTCAATTCAAGCAATAAGTAAATGTCAGAGAAACAATTGTCCTTAAGTAGAGATGATTATCTGTATGCTAAAACAAGCTGTCTCACACATTTTTATTCTTCAGATTTTACTAGTTCCTGTCAATGCATGCTTAGATACATTTTTTAAAAATATTGTTTGCATGATAAATTTTCAAGCCAAGATAAAGTAAATTATTGAAAGAGTACACAGTTCTCCAGATTAAGGATTGAGGGCTTTTTTTAAGGATTTGGCTTTCTTTGAATAAGCAGCCCAGTAATCATCCATTTTTAAACACTCCTATAGCCTGATTAAAAAGTTCTAGGAGACAGGTGGTTTAGAAATTAGCAATGAGATGTAGAGCCTTTCATCTGTTGATCAACTGTTCAAATCCAGTCTTGGATTGGCAAAGATCAAAAGTTTTTACTATTTGATTGTCGTCCAGTGGCCAGCATGAAATAACTCTAGCTTTCTTTCATATGGCAACTGTAAAAGCAACCTTAAAGGTCAATGTCCAAATTTGTCATTCACTCTATGGCCTGCGGTGGAATGAATCAAGACTGTCTCTCCCACAGAAGGATCTTAGAAGGCTGCAGTTCACTAGATGGTCTATGGTTTGAATGTCTTCTCCACATTCGCATCCCAGGCTATCCTTCATTTTCCATTTTTGTAGTAGATAATTGCAACGTCCATATGAGGTTCTGATACGGTTCACTGTGATCCATATCTTACATGGCATGGTGAAGCCAGGTGGTTGGTCTGTAGGATCCATAATCAGATCTTGATTCTTGATCCTGTTTTTGCACAACCTCCACCACTTGTTTTTTGGTGAGAATCCCAGGGTTTTAAGAGCTTTGGCCACTAACTAGAAAGGGCTCCTGGACTTAAGGCACCATGTTGGGTTGGAGGGGAGTTTGGAGATCTTCATAGATGGGCAAATCTGTGTTTGTATTCCTGCTGCTTCTCTTCAGAGTGATGGTGATAAGATTTGCGTGAATAAGGAAGGAAACTAGACAGTTGGTGTTGACTTCAGCACTCCTGAAACCATTTGATTAACAGTGTTCAATTGCACACCGACAAGTTTTGTTGATGTGTTACCTGCCGATATTGATGAGCAATATTCAGCTGCTGAGAAAATGAGAGCCAATGAGGCTATCCATAAGATGAGAATGTCTGCTTCCCAACTGGTCACAGCTCATTTGTGGATTATATTGTTCCTAGTCTTTATCATGGCAGTGGTCTTCATCAGATGTTGGCTGTATGGGATGTTGCAATGCAGAACCATTCCAAGATATTTCAGGAAATCCTTGTGCCTGAGTTTTATGGTGCAGAAGATGGCTTTCAGGTGCTGCTTTGCATTTTGGTTGCTCAGGTGGAATGTGGAGACAGCTGTTATACCTTTAGTGATGTCAGTACAGTGCTTTGCGACTAGCTCCCCACTACACAAACAAAACCCAACCATAACATTGGCATTTTTGATGGGAGTCTTACAAGAAAGGCTAAGGATTAAATGTCCATATAGGTGGCCTCTTCACTTATTAGCACATGGGATAAATCTGCAATGCCATTATCTGTGTTGTACTGGTTCTATGGATAGAGAACCTCAGTCTCCAGGAATGTCAACTCAGTTCATTTCACAAATTCCATAACAGTTAAAAGCCTTTAATAAGGAAAAAGGTTACCTCTGTGCTAGAAAGCTACGTATCCAGAGTTTGCTTCTGTTCTGGAGTTAGAAACAACAATGGGAGTAGAGGGTGGTAGTTGAGGGAGTAGGGGAAGAAGAAGAAAGAAATTGTATACCACAAGTCAAATGCTGCTTTGTTGCATTAGTGCAGTACCCATTGACTTGAAAGGGGAATATCAAATGAGAACAGAATTTGGCCCAGTATTACTCCTTTTCAGATTTAATTAAACAGTTATTTCTGACAATAAGAAACTTAACAGTCAGCTTTAGCTACACAATCATTTAACCTCATGTGTGTCACTAGTTTGGTTTTCTGCTTCTTTAAGAAACCTGTACATAGATTCCCAGCCCTCCTCTGCACCCATTGCACCACCCAGGCAGCACAGAGAGAAGAATCTATTATGCTTGTTATCCCCTTCGAGGGATCAAGTCCCAACTCCCCAGTAAGTGTAGAATTGGCATACCAGTCTCCTGTCTCACCTTGCCTCCATCTCCAGTGTAGGGGTATGTTAGAGCAGAGAGGGTGCATGGCAGGAGATCACTTCAGCCATCTCAAGCTTGACAGTCTCTTGGAGACTACTGCCAGCTGGCATAGGCTAGAGGAACTCCCAAGCTGTATTAACCTATGCTGAGGTGGAATGAGGCAGAGAATCCTAACTCTAATCAGCTCTATGATATATTACCCCATCTGCCGCAGCATAGAATGTAGCCCCAAATGTTTGAGAGCACAGGAATTATGTATGATTAAAAGAAATAAACCTGAGTGAAAATTATTTCTAACCTCTATGTATTGTTCTCTCTGAGGATGCAAAAGCAAGGGAAGAAAGTATGCATCTCATATGACATGTATCTGGTAAAATTTCAGACAATGTTAGTACAATATTTAAAAAAACTTGACAAATTTCTTTACTGTGTTGACAGTTGAAAATAGAACAAATAAAAACATCAATGAATCAGTGTGTGTGTATACACACAGAGAAATACTAAAAACTTTGTATCTTTGAAGTGACCGTGTCTATTGTCTCCAGCAGAGGTAATATGTGTATATCTGTCAATTTGCTGTAGGTCTTCTATGTGGCTCCTAGTATTCTGCCTTGTCATCATTTTAAAATACATAATCATGTGCTAAGTTCAGGGAGGGTTTATTGCCTTTGCATTTTAACACTGATGCCAAATATAGTTGGAGGGAAATATTCTCATTTCCTTATGCTAGCAAGGCACATTCCGCAATACAAGAAGGCACAAGTGTTATATGCAATCTCTTCAAATGGTATGGGAATAAGAAGAAGCCATATAGTCTTTATCACAAACTGTGTATGAAAATGAATACTGCTCTTGAAATTCATGGGTAAAAAGATTTTTATTTAAAAATTCTATGGTACAAAACCAAGACTCTTGGTTGGCTGTTTTTGTTTTTTGTTTTTTGTTTTAACTTTATTATGGAAATGATTGGACTTACTTCAAACTCTGTGGCAATATTTCCCAATGAGCCTCTCTGGGGAAAGGAGGCAGAGGACAATAACAAAGGCCCTAGATAACACCCCTCCCCAGTGCTTCTGAGGTGGTGGGTGAAACAGCAAGCAGCTAATTGAAATTCATTTGCCTTCCATCTCTGCTACCACCGAAGCCCCTAATGAGACTGAGAACAGGAAGTAATTACCGATGTTGTTACGTGCCTAGACAGCAAACCCTAGCTTTCCTCTATTGTTCTCTCATCATTCAGCCAAACTACAAGTGTATATGTGACCTGGCTCCATGATGCTCTCAGTGGATGTCCAACAAAATTTAAAAGAATTCGAGTATTTCATTACAGCACCTCAATTGTGGTGTATGCCATTATAATGCAAAGCCATGCAAACAAGAATTAAGTGACCAGCTTAAAGTAACTAAACTAGACTGAAAGAAACATTTGT